CTGGAAATAACTGTGCTGGACTGGAGCTATTATCCATCTTCCAGTATATACTCTTTTACATACAAAATAGACTTTTACACAATAAATGAATAAAAAAGCCTTTTGGATGACACATACTATTTGAATTCCATAGTTTGGTTTGAGGAGAAAGGTTTAGCGTTTTTGCTATGTAAAGCTACCCCCTTCCAGTGTTAAAAGGATCATTTAACTTGAAGTCCTTGTTTTTATGTACTGGCAAATGCCTCCCTCTGCAGGAAATTGGAAGCCAATTGCAGCTACACCCTGTTGCAGCATAAAAAAATAAATGTCCAAGAAACAAGATAATAGAATTAGTAGAGGAGAATCCACTTAATTAGTTCTTTATTAATGGCATAATGTATCTAGGCTCTAGTTCTGATTTGGTCAATGATTCAATCTGTGATGTCAGGCAAGTCAATGCTTTCTGTGCCTCAATTTCCCCATCTGTAAAAGAGTGATATTACCCACCTTTGTAAAGCACTTTCAAGCCTTTAGATGTTACATAGGGGGAAGTATCATCAATTAATACTATTTTGTTTATTAAATGGAATCCTTACTATTGCCTGCAAGCCTAGCACCAGTACTGTGCTTAAAAGGTGTTAAATTTAGCACAGGTTTCCTGCTGTGCAACTTTAGTTCAGTTCTGGCTCATGCCCTAATCTATGGCTGTTAGGTGAGTCTATATTACCTAGTTTCATTTAGGCAGCGCCTGGCTGTTAAAGTGCAAGACTGAGAATAAAGAGGTCTGAGTTCTATCTGCCACAGATTTGTGGGACAGTTTGTTTGTTTTTAAAAAGGTAGTCGTTGGCGATAGCCACTTTTGAAAATTCCACTAGGCACCTAACTCCCACTGGGGATTCCCAATAGTGGAGATGCCATTTAATAAACAGTGATAAATAATTATACTTTGCCCTTATGTAGCATGTATAAATGCTCTAAAGTATTTTACAAAGATGGAAGTTAGACCGCTAGGTGCTTTTGAAAATCCTACTAAGCATCAATCTGCAGCTTTAGATGCCTAAATGCCTTTTAAATCAGGCCCTGGGTGACTCTGTGCCAGTCATTTAATTGCACTGTGCCCTGGTTTCCCAATCTGTAAAATGGGGATAATAGCTACCTTACAGACGTTCTGCAAGACTATTATTGTAAAGCTCTCTGAGTTCCTTGGATAGAAAACACTTTGTAGGTACAAATATTCAGTTAGTATTAAGGAATTAACTATATGGACTATTCTGGCAGCTGCTCTCCCTGCTTCTGCCACAGAACCCGGCTATAATACTGCATCTGCAGTAGCAGGCTGGTCGCAAATATGTTAGGCAATTCTTTATGAAGGAGCAATATTCTTGATAAGTAGCATGATGCTGTTGGTTAGAGTGCCAGCTTTCAGCACCAAGATTCAAATCCTGAAGGGGTCACTTAAATATTTAATTACAATGCCCCCCATCTTCAGAAGTGTCAGAACAGTACTCAGTGCACAGGACAGGGGCAGGATGGGAAAAGGTATTTTGCAACCAACTTTGACACGCCAAGCCCCAGAGCTATTCAGCCATAACCATAAATTTTAGGCCTTGGGACTGCTCCAAGTTGTGGTGGCTTGTAACAGCCCCACTAGCAGAGACTGCCAGAATGCCACAAACTCTGGCCATACCCTGTGGCTCCCAGCATACACCTTAGTAGGAGATGGGGAGGGCACAGAGTTGCCCATGTCAACTTCCCCAATGCTGGGGGAATTGTCTGATTTAGCGCAGCTTTAATGGTTAATTGGTACAAAGGGGGCTTAGCACAGGATGACCTACACATAAAAATAATCTTTCCAAGATGTGTTATATACCCTTGCAGTGTCCACTCTCAAAACTAAACTATTTATTGTATCGCAGATTTGTAAATGGATTCCACCTTTTTTAACCAGCATGTCAGTATTAGTATAAATCACAGTACACAATTCAATTTTTTTCCTATAGTTTTTCAAAATTCAATGAGAAAAGCTTTGTGACAACTGTCCTTCCTGAAGATTAACTGGTTCCATTGAGAGATTTCTCAATTCTCTGAAGATTGTGTAATCAGCACATTTGTGTCAAGTATCAAAGGAGAAGGCACTCAGGCAGATGCATTTGTTGAGATTTTTTTAAATTGCTTACTCTATATAAAGTGTATAATACACAGGCTACACATGACTTCAAACCCACAAATGGATCAACATTCACTGTGCATCAGCCATTTCTTTAGCTTATTCCTTACAACATTGTTAACTCCAGAATGATTGGATGAACTTTCCTTTCAGAGGAACTAAAATTTCCAGGAATGAATACATTCAGCTTACATACAGCCAAGTATTGCTAATACAGTTCAATTTTAACCAGTTCTTTTTAAGACTTTATACTTTTGGTCAGTCAGCATTTTGTACAGCTTGAATTACCTTAGAGAAAATTATGAATCTGGTTACTAAAGTTATAATGATAATTGAAAAGGATCAAATTCATTCCCCTTTGCAAAGCCCATGTAGTCTTTGCTCAGCATATGAAGTGGGGGTGCACAGGTTTAAACCGCCATTGTGGTTGCATGGCTGCAATGTAGTACCTGCAATTATTATTCTATCCTACAGGTTTCATACAAAATGTCTGATACCCCACCCTGCTCATTAGATGAGTAGTCATGAAATCCCATAACCATCCCACAGCCTGCCCCAAGAAACCCTCCCTGCTGGCCTATTGGTAAGTGTCAAGAAGGCCCCTACATTCGTGATCACTCTACATAGACAACAGGCTTTAATGTCCCAGAGGGCCTTGCATGGCCCACCCCACATAGGAAGATTCCCTTGTTGGTGTCATTAGGCATAACCCTAAGTAACTTGGGAGGTGGAAGACCACAAGTGTCAATGAAGCCTTCCTGCACCAGGCCTAAATGAACCAAACTCCTTCCATGTTTAACTCTAATCGACCTCTAAAGCCAGATGCAGAAATTGGAATGTGTAACAGTTTATCAGGTGCTGCACCGCTCATATCGGTACCAAGCGGTAATAATGAGGCCTGCATACTTCTGGCTGAAAGGCAAAATAATAAATCAAAGGAAAGGGACAAGGTAATAATTCAAAAAGAAGTTACTAACAAGCTGGACTTATAGCCACCAAGATGATTTAATTGCTTAAATGTAATTGCTTGCTACTTGCTTAAAGTAAACTATTATAAGAGGAAGGGAGAGGGAAGGGAGGGGGATGAAGGGAAAAGCCTAGCTGCAAAAAGAATAAAAAGGGAAAACTTAGTGTGCTTGATCTGAGACGTGCCAGTCTCCTTGCACCGCTTTGAAATCTCAAATAAACTTTGATTGCTTCTCCACCCTGGTGTGTTCATTGGCACGAAGCACACCAGGCAACAAACCCCGCTGTTGCTTTCCTCGGGCACTCTGTGCCGGCAACACCCTCAAAAGCATTACAGGAATTTTTCACACTTTTGTACAGACTACTACAAGTGTTATGTTTAACACTTATGGAATGCTAATCCCGGGGGAAGGGTTTTAAAAGGTTATTAATAAATATACTATCAGTATAAAATGAAGTGTGTTTTCTTGTATATGTACAAAACTCAGCATATTTTCACATATGCACAAACTGACTGGTTAAAAAGTGTTTCAATATTAAAGAAATCATCATGAAAATTATTCAAAAATTAATCTGAGCGAAGACAAAGGATTTCTGACACCCCAAATTCAAATTCAAAATTGCAGATTATACCAGGCAATTTGTGCCTCACTCTCAGGTTAAGATTCCCTGTTCTAAGGAATCAATTTGATTGAATATTGTACAATATAATAAAAACTGAAGTACTTTTTTCTTACACCAAAAGCAAAAGTGTGCTAGACTGACGTTTTGAATTCCTCTCCTATACCAGCCATCCATGTTATTCCTGAACTGACAGTAAACAATATTAGCATTCTGATTATATTTGCTTCGTGTTTAAGCTTCACGGACTGACCAAAGGAACAAGAGTCCCAAGGTTGGTCCACATCAAATTTTCTTATGTAACAGTGAAACATGCCAAGCTAGTTTATGAACCTCCACCCCATTCACACATCATCTCTAAAATAAAGTTATTTTACCCTCAAAGCATGTGCTTAAAGAGAAGTTCATTTATGTAAGTGCTTCCGTGGGGGGAGAATGAGGCCCTGTCTGTAAACAATGTTGAGCATTCAACAATATATGCAAACCCCACAAATATCTTTTAAAGAACAGCATAAATTTAATGTCAAAATATTTGAATTCAAGTACAGAAATTAACACATGATTTCAACATTTAAAAAAAAAAACAGCACAACTCTTTTTTTAAAACAGAACTATTATACAGGTAATACCAAAACACAGATGAAGCTTAACAATTTTAACTCTGAATAAATTAACAGCACAAAAAGTAAGATAATTTACTCTATTACTAAAACTATGCAAAGGACCACAATAGTAAATTATTTCTTTAAAGTTAAAAAAAAGTTTCTTAAAATCTCTCTTTTGCATCATTTTCCGGCTACATAATAGTTGCCTTCTCGCTAAGTAACTACTAATCTTCAACATAACAGCGATCCTTGGTAACAAGATTACAACCAATATTTGCACAGATTAAATTAAAGAGATACTATTCAGTAAAGTAATTATTAGAAAACATAACATAAACCACTGGGTTCTATTGCCCACACTTTGACCAGGAACCATAAACAGATAAAAGAGCATCAATCTACAGTACACAGGCCAAGAAAAGAAACTTTTTTGAACTTTATCTTTTGACAAATGCTTAGTAAAATACTTATATTTACTGAAATGTGAAAAGTTCCCTATATGGAAGTAAATATATTTTACTCATGAAAATGAATAGTGTAGACCCAATTAAAAACTAAAATTGAAAACTTTCATATTAATGCTGTAAAACTTTTTCTTCAAAAGAATGAGGCCTCATTAGAGATATATACTCGCTGTCCAACATGGCTGCCATTAGCAAGCAGAATTGTTGGTGATAAGGGGTAGCTTGGATAAAAATAAGGCCTTGATGTGTATGGAGGCACGCTGGGTGTCCCAGAAGAGAGAGTGGCACTAACAGGGGAAATGCTATTTACTGAGCTGCGACGAAAATTGTAGTCTGTAAATAAATATATGAATAGTTACTTTGCATGTAAGTCTATAAATACAAATTTAATTCAAAGAGGCAAAATAGACTACTACACAAAAAATCATTTTCTAACATGTTTCAATCCTCAATATTTTGTTGATAGCAATGGAGACTATGCTGATTTGTCGCCTTGCAAATCCTGTTTTACCAGTATGAGACACAAATACCTGCACTTCACTGATATACTTCTATACCAGGACCACAGATTTGACTGGAAAGGTATCTTTCCACTAAGAAATTTGTTTTGCATCTTTCTACCTTTGCAGAAACAAATCTCTGATTTATATTACTACCACAAGATACTAATTTTCTTCCAAATTAGATCTGGTACAGAAATACTGGGATTTCATCTCTGAAAGAAGAGATGTAACCAGTTCATTTTTGCCTTTTTCTAAGATTTATTATTTACAATACAAACTGATAGAATCTTCTCTAAAACTACAGAAATGTGGAGGGTGAGGTATTCTAACTAGATTACTTTGCCAATATTTGATTTACATACTACTGCAAACCTTTTATAAAAGTCTAGTTGTACTTACCATTTAAAGTATTACTGGTAAATACAATTTTAAATAAATCATCCCTTTAAAACAAAAACTATATTAATCAAACATTTGCAAAAAGACAAATAAAATGTAATAAATTTCACTAATCTTTAAATTAAACCATTTAAAATACAGAGATGCTATTTGTAGAATTGTTGTTTCCCAATAAACACATACTTTATTTCCCAGTAATTCTCATACACCATACAGTGTTATCCTTTTCTCCAAAATAATAAATTCTGAACTTTTCAAACATGCAACTATGCTCTTCGTGGTAGTTCAAGCCAAACAAGGTGCAGAGTTGATTCTAGAAATAAGGAGACCTTCTGGCTTCCAAAAAGCACTGTACACTATTTTCAGAGGGAATTGCAAATAAAGTCATTTTAAGGTGAAGGTGAAGGTCTGCACTGCAGTATCCTCATAATTCTGTAAATGTGGTACCTCAATTTTTTGGCAAGCATTAACTTAATGAAGTCAATGAGAATAAATGTTTAGCCAACAGGAATGAGACCAACAGCAGTAGTGTAAGCTCAAGCATCATCAGAAAGGACCTAGTTAAGAGAAAAAATGGGAGAAATTAAAAAAACTGAAACTATTTAGAAAGTTTAGTTTCATTTTCAGTATTGAGACTAAAAAAAGAATTTTTTTTCAAAATTTAATTTTCCAATAAACATTCACGGTGGAAATTAGCAAAAACGTATACATCAGTAAGTGATGAGTTTTCAAGCAAATTCTCTGATCCTTCACTGACAACTGTGCAGGCAGACCCATGCACCAGAGTTCCAGTGCAAGATGAGAATCAAAAATTAAGAAACTTTTCATCAAGTAATTTTTAAAAAAGCGTCTTTATGACTTCCAATGACCAGTTATTACTAAGTTATCCAGAAACATTTCTTTACACTGTTCTGGCTCTGAAATGGGGTCATGTAAATTAACATCAGGCCCATCACTTCTTCTGATAAATACAGAATATAATTTGTTTATACTGTATAGAAGATAAATGCTTTATATTATATTATTCCAGTTATTCATATATTTCATGTGCTATATATCAATTTTGTATTATCAGCCTTTTCATTTTACTTGTTTTTATTAAACACATTAAATATTCATTCTGAAAAAACACATTTTGGGGTGCCATATTCTGCCACACTGAGTAATTATTCATGAACTATCCTACTGATTTCAGTGGGACTACTCAGAGTAAGGTTGTAACTCTGGTGACATAACCTGGCCATTTAGCAGCAGAGTAAAATGAGCCAACTTCATTTCTACTAAAACTCCACTGAAGTGAATCAAGTTATGCCAGGGATGAATTTGACCCAACGTCGCCAAGTTTATATTTCTTACCTGTTATTTATTTTCTCCAAATTCTCCTACACAGATCCAGACTGATGAGGTTATGTTCCCTGTCTGTAAGTAGTGGAGACAGAGAATAACTGAATCTTCAAGACAATGTTGTGATCCCTACTTGAAGTATATGGAACCCTAGGAGACTCGGTTACAAAAAATTCCCAACAGTATAATTAATACTCAGGAATGAATAAAAAACTTCATATTTTCAAAATGCCTTAAAAGCATTTGACTATTTAACCCTGCAACAACTCAGTTGAGTAGGTACAAGTATCCCCCTTTAAACAGATGGGGAAACTGAGGCAAAGAAGTTAAAGACATGGTTCTCAGAAGTGCTGAGCACCCATAACTCAAACTGAAATAATTATTAATAATCCATTCAGTCTTCTAGAGAAGATAAGACCTTAATTTCTAATGTAAGAGGCAGTATTTGACTTTTTTTAAAAAATGATGCTTTCTTTATACATCACAAAGAAACAACAAAAGGTAGTAGCCCAATTTCTTTTCTTTCACATCACCATTAAACTTTAGCACTCTGTGCCCAAAAAGGAAGGCAGAGATTGTCCTAGTACAATGAAAGCCTCATAGCACTAGAAAATATTTTGCATCTGTATGTATAAGGCCTGATTTTCAAATGAGAAGCTCCAAGTCTGAGCATAAAATTGTTTGTGGTTGCAAAATGCACTCAAAATTGGAGGTCCAGTTAAGGTCCTTTTAAAAATCAGACCCATAAACTTCACCTGTGCAGCACCTAACATATTCAAAACCTGACTGCAGACTAGCTAAAGCAATTGCACAGGTGAGCAATGGGGCTCTTTGCAGGTAGCAGTACTAGAGGGAGAGCAATCTCCGTGGGAAGGGGTGGGGAGTAGCCTTGGCTTCAACTCCTCAACACACTAACCAGTGCAACTGAGTTAGTGCACTGGGGAAAGTAATCTGTACCAAATATAAACTGGTGCAGATTATTTGCCTCCTGGATTTCTGGGGCACAACTATAAACTGCCCTTTGCTCAGAACTGTGACAAAGCCCTCACCTACTAAATATTCACAAGCTTCTCAATTACAGACCACTAGAACTCACTGTAAAGAGCACCTTGTAACAATATAAATCCTTCCAAATAAACTAAGTCTTCTCTTTACAAGAGACTTTTTGAAAAAAAGACAGAAGAATCAATTTCTGGTGTACAGTGTATGATTAAATTATTTTCAGGAAAAAAAAGAAAAATGAGTTTGAGAGCAACTCATTTAAGTCTGTAATTTTAACAACAATCAAAATGATACAAATCTTTTTATACAAATTCTAACAATAATAAGGTTTCAAGAAAGAATCAAAGTAAAGCACGGGATAATATTAGTAGCTTAAAAAGTCTGGTGATATCAGGATTTCAGACTATGGAAAAGGTTCCCTACTTCGCTCTAATTGCTCCAACAAATACATCTTGAATTTTGATAAAGCAAACTGAGACCAGACCATATTGAAAAAAGTATAACTCAATTATATGGCAATATGAAAGGCTTGGTGTTTAAATCATAGCACCATGAAAGAAAAGGTTTCTTTATTCAATAATATGTAGAAAGATGGATCCTACTGGTATCTTCAAGGAAATAATAGGATTAAGTATTTATGTTGAAATCATTGCTTTAAACGCCAGACCAAGAGCAAAAAGTTTCTCGGGTGAATTATCTATTTTGTCCTTGATTTATAAGGACTATGTTGAACACAATAACTGAATTTATATTTTTAGATAGCCTCTTTGTGCTTCAGTTCCCCATGCTTCTGAATTTATACAGCTAGCCATACAACATGAGAAAATGATTAATTGGAATTAAAAACAAGAAAGCTGTCATTTAGAAATTGTAATGAAGATAAACTTTCTTATATACTCATTACAATGAGCAGGAAAAGAAAAAATAAAAAGCATTGAAGAAATCACTAAGCGATTTACTGCAGGTAAATTCTAGGATCACTGTAACCTATCCATAACAATCAAAATCTGTGCAGTAGGCAGTGTTTATGTTTCTGAATATTCCTCTTAATTAGGATGAAAAGACACTGGTGTAGGTAGTCTGTTCCCACATTAAAAAACATAGGCAGCAACTATGAATCAAGGAATATTCACAAGGATTTTCACGCCGAGGTGACCCTGCATTGTCATGTTAGAGGAAGGGAATAACGTATATCTTCCCCATGGAGCAGCCACCCGCAAACCTGCTGTATCCCCTAGGATTCACAGGAGGACACAAATCCTCACAGCAGCGCCAACCCTCTGCATCTCCCCCCCATGTGAAGTGAAGGTCCATTACAGCCACAATGCCAGGGACTCCACCTCTAGCTGTGGAGGCTTCCGAGGACCACCAAAGGCTCTGCAAGCGAGTTTATGCAATCTGTGGTAAATGGTGTGAGTGTTGGGTGATAGCGACATGCTTCCCCTGCTCCCCCAACCTTTCTCCCTGCAAGAATCTCTGATCACAAACATATCACTCTGCAGGGCTGTGGGAGGGCAATTTGGGGCACTGATACAGAAAGACTGAGCCCCTCTTCTGCACACAGGGAGATCCACACATGGATCTCAAGATGAATGATGTGGTCCAAGAGAAATGGAAATCCCATTTCTAAAATAATGCGTCTATTCTCGATACCCATCAGTATGTTAAAATACTACACTGACTTCCACTTTTCTGTGATGGCTATCAGGTTCATTTGTTGGGTGCCTGATTGATTTTAAAAATAATCTGATGATTCAAACATCAACTGCTAGTAAGCCAGTGAACATGGGAGTTCAAAAACCGCGCTACAAAGGACCTAGGAGGGAGGGCTCCGATAAAAGTTTAAGGAAGACAACATGTAAGATGGAAAATATTTTTCTTGAACTGTGTAAACAAATGCCAGAACTACAAGACTGCTGTCTTCTCTGGTAAACACAGCAAATAATTAAATATATCAGATTTCCAATACAGACAGTCTAAGGCAAGTTTCCAGAAGTTTCAGTTTCTTTCTGTCTCCACTACTTTCATAGAAGGAATATCATCCCCTCAGTACAGACCTATGTAAGAGAATGAAAGAGAAATATGTTTTAAGAATTATATATATATATATATATAAAAAACATAAAAGGACAATTATTTACAAAAAATTATATCCGCAGTAAACGTTTTCATATCTGCCAATTAAAAAAAAAAAGAGAGATATCAATAAGGGCCAGAATTTGATATCCTTCCTCATGTTGAGCAGTAGCTCAACTCTATAAATAGTCACACTGGGCTAATATGTGAAGCCAGGTATTAAATATGAATAATGATATCAAAATTTGGCCCTTAGGTATTATCACTAAAATTGCTTTACAAACTCATGACACAAGATTCTGACAGGATTAACTGAGAATATCCATCAAAGAGTTCCAAACAATTTTCAGTACAATCACGCATGTAGGGAGACTTGTTAACTAGATTACCCACTTCTGACATTAAAGAAGATAAAAGCAGTCACCTTCATTAAGAAATTAGTCTGTACAATACCACCAAAATTTCTAGGACAATATTTGGCTTTGGCCTCATGCCTTGCAATGCACTTGAAGTCCAGGAACATCTTGTTATAACCAAGCACTGTGTTACTGTTTACACAGAAACTTTAATTTATTTAAACTAGTGAATGGTTCAAAACTTCTGTCTAATTATACTTCAAATTCAGTAGATTACTAGACCAGATTTTCAGAAAACCTGGTTATGAAAGTCAAGGAAGTCTCAGACACAAAGTATAATGGAACAAGTGACGACTCTTGGGTCCTTACAAATATTGAAAAATGGCAAATTGACCTCCCTTATTTTATTCAGGTTTCTCACAGGAATATCAATGATATGGGATTATTTATTTTGTGATACCAAAAAGCCAAATAAAAGACTATTATTAATGCATGAATTACTCAATGACTGCCATGCATGTGAAGATCTTTTAACTATGAGAATATCAAAATCTTAAATAAAAAAATTATTACATGGAAAAACAGTCCACCAATTTAGAGAACTGAAAAACCCTGGGTTACTAACATGCACTTGGATATGCTTTTTGTTGGGGGGGGGGGTAGATGGCTCTGAGCCAGGCTTAAAGACACTGGAAGTGTAGTTTTGCTAAGGGTGTCACAAATATACAGGGTGCAATATGACCCAGAAGTTGCAAGCAAGCCTCTGCTGTTTGCAGGCT